TCCCCCTGCCCCTTGGTCTCCCCTCACCCCTCAGTCTGCCCCCAGTCATGCCTCTCAGTCTCCCCCCCACCCCTTGGTCTCCCTGCTCACCCCTCGGTCTCCCCCCACCCCTCGGTCTCCCCCTGCCCCTTGGTCTCCCCTCACCCCTCAGTCTACCCTCAGTCATGCCTCTCAGTCCCCCCTGCCCCTCGGCCTCCCCCCACCCCATCTCCCCACACCCTTCAGTGTCCCCCCCTCCCCATCTCCCCACACCCCTCAGTTTCCCCCCTCCCCGTCTCCCCCCTCCCCGTCTCCCCCCACCCCTCAGCCTCCCCCCACCTCTCAGCCTCCCCCCACCCCATCTCCCCACACCCCTCGGTTTCCCCCCGGTTGTGCCTCTCAGTCCCCCGGCTCCTTGGTCTCCCCGCCCCGGCCCCTGGGTCTCTCCAGCCCCTCAGTCTCCCTGCTCACCCTCAGTCTCCCCCCACCCCCGCCTCCGTCTCCCACTCTGTTAGTCCTCCCCCTTTCCCCTCAGTCTTTCCATCGTTGACACCCAGTGTCCTCAGGGTCTCAGAATCGGGAATCTGAGATAGAGACACTTGAGCATTTCTTAAAATGCTATTTAAAAATTATTATTACTATTTATTTGGAGGAAAGAGGTGAGAGAAGGAGAAGGAGTGGGGAGGAGGGAAAGGAGAAGTGAGGGAGGGGGCGGGCGCGCAGGGGAAGAGAGGGAGCCTTAAAATGCTGTTATGATGACAACATGAGAACTGGAGAACTGGGTAGATGCCTTCCAAAGCCAGGAAACCGTTTTATCTAACACAGCTATCTTTGTTTTATTCTATTTATTTTGAGATGAGTCTTGCTCTCTCACCCAGGCTGGAGTACAGTGGTGCGATCTTGCCTCACAGCAGCCTCCGCCTCCCAGGTCCCACTGATTCTCCTGCCTCAGCCTCCCGAGTAGTTGGGATTTACAGGCATGCGCCACCATGCCTGGCTAATTTTTTATTATTGGTAGAGTTGGTGTTTCACCATGTTGGCCAGGCTGGTCTTGAACTCCTGACCTCAGGTAATTCACCTGACTCAGCCTCCCAAAGCGCTGGGATTGATTGCAGGCATGAGCCACCGCACCTGGCATAATTCAGGTGTCTTTAAATAGACAAACGTGAGAAACAAACAAATACATGTGCAGCACGAGACATTTGGGGGATTGTCTTTCAGCAAATCGGCTGCCTCAAAGGTGGACCATGTAGGAGTGTACGCAGAGGCAAGTGCCCCGCGGTGGCCAGGACAGACAGGCAGGAAGTCCCAGGTGCACAGTCCAAGCTGGCGGGACCTAGAGCTGACGGTCCCTCAGCTGCAGCGTCCTTGCCACGGCAGCCCTCCCCTCCTGCTAGTCACAGATGTCATCCTCCCTTCCAGGCCTCTTGCCATGTTCTGGGCAGGAAGAAGGAGGGACTCGTCCCTGTTTCTCCCCAGGCAGGACTGTGTCCCAGAAACCCTAGTTTCGAGGGGGCGGCCTCAGGGTGTTTTCAGCAGGTCCCATTGCTGTAGTTGGGACCTTGAGCAATATCAGAATCTGTTGGTGAGGAAAGGGGGATGGGCGTGGGACTGACAGCTCAGGGGAGGGACAGCTTACTCTTGAGACCCCAGGGGAGCAGAGAAAGCAGAGCCACCAGCAGAGAGGGTCCTGAGGCTGGGGCCTGGAAGTAAGTTTAAGTGAGGAGCGTGGCTGTGGAAAAGCCCGGGGTGGGCAGTGGCAGAAGGTATGAAGGACAGGAGCAATGCCAAGGCTGGTGTGGGGGCGGGGAGCGGGGCCTGCCCCTTGATGCATTTCTTCTCCAGATGTTCTCTGAGCCACTGGGAAGGGTGTGGACAGTGGGGCAGCCTTGACGTCATGGCTGGGTTTGTATGCTAGCAGCAGCTGGCACGGATCGAGCTCTTAGGATGTGCTGGGCACAGGCTGAGCCCGCATGTGCAAGGCCACAAGCAGTCCTCCCTCCGGGGCTTGTAGGCAGGCAGGATTGTCACTCCAACTTCACAGAGGAGGCCGCTGAGGTTCAGCGTGGCCAAATGAGCCGCCCAGGCATCTCAGCTAGGAAGCAGAGGGTCTGGGGACCCAACCCACTAAACCTCCATACTGTGCCACCTCTCCAGGGACAGTCAGAGGGAGGCTACGTAGGAGAGGGCGGGTGAGAGCAGGGACAGCAAGGAGGAGGCAGCCGGGGAGGTCTGCCTTCATCAGGACACGGGTGGTGAGGTGCTGTTCTGGGAGGGTTCTGGCAGAAATGGTGTCTTTGGGTCTTGGGCGGTGGGCACCTGGGTGCCAGGCGCAGGCTGAGCCCCACAGCCCCTAGGTGTGCAGAGGCAGAATGTGTACTGCTCGGAGTGGCAGGCAGGGCCTGTGGACGAGGGGCACTGTGACCCCCTGGGCCAGCCCGATGACTGCCAGAGGAAGTGCAGTGAGTAGCCCTGCCCTGCCAGGTGAGCTGCCTCCACACCCCTGCCAACTCCCCACCCCCAGGCGGCCTGGGTCTGCCACAGGCCCCTACTTCTGGGCCCCAGAGTTACCAGGGAGGAGCACAGGCAGCCAGGTTTTCACGGGTCTTCCCAAGGCTGAAGCCCCAGCTCCTGGTCACCCCTTACTCCAGCCTGGGCCAGCCTGGACACCTGTGGTCCTCCTCCTTGGGTCCCTGGATATGGAAATAGGCCTCAGGTCACGATCACTTCCCCTGAGGGGAGGGTGGCAGGAGCGGAGGGGCTGGGCCATGTCACCAGACTTAGGGGGCAGGACACCTACCTGGGCTTGGAGTTCTGTAGAAGCAGCCACTGGCCTTGGTCCCAGCTCTGGGACCAACCCCGAGTGCCTGGGAGCCTGGCCTGACCCTCCCTGCTGGTGAACCTGCAGATGCCACCCATGTGCCCTTGCCAGGTGGTGGGCAGGTGAGTGGCAGCTGTGCTTCTGCGGGCCTGGGGGCCTCTCACGCCGGGTCATGCTCTGCATCCGCAGCGTGGGGCTGGATGAGCAGAGCGCCCTGGAGCCGCCCGCCTGTGAACCCCCTGGCCCCCAGCTAAAACCCCCTGCAACCGCCACGTGCCCTGTCCGGCCACCTGGGCTGTGGGGAACTGGTCTCAGGTGAGTGCGGGATGGGAAGGGCCGCCTCCAGCGACACCCTTGGTCTCAGGCTACAGGGAGGCAGACAGCCTTCCTCCAGCCCTTACTGCCTGGTACTGTGGGTGGGAGTGAGTCTGGGGCATTCCAGGGTCCAGCCTGACTCCAAAGCCTCAGGGATCAGGAAGCCTCTGCAAAGCCGTGGTCACAGCCATGACCTTGAGCTGGGTAGGGCCAGAGAGGGCTGGCTGGGGTCCCTGCCACTCTGACACCGGACAGTGGACAGCGCCTTGTCCCTGCCTTGCCCCAGTGTCCCCTGGCAGCCCGCCTCCCAGCCTGAGCCCCTCACTCTAGCTTCCCCCCCAGTGCTCAGTGACATGCGGGGAGGGCACTTGGCACCGAAGTGTCCTCTACACCCGTGACACTGGTGTCCCCTGTGACGAGGCCCAGCAGCCAGCCTGACAAGTCACCTGCTCTCTGCCACTCTCCACGGCTCCTGGACACATTGGTCCCTGAAGGCTCAGGCAGCGGCTCTTCCAGCTACGAGCTCTTCAACGAGGCTGACTTCATCCCGCGCCACCTGGCCCCACGCCCTTCACCCACCTCAGCACCCAGGCCAGCCAGCATGGGCAACGCCATCGACGAGGAGGCCCTGGAGCTGGACCCGCTGGGGCCCGTATTTGTGGACGACTTCTACTACGACTACAATTTCATCAACTTCCACGAGGACCTGTCCTAAGGGCCCTTTGAGGAGCCCAATGTAGACCTGGCGGGGACAGGGGATGGGACGCCTACACCACATGGCCGTCCTGCTGCACCCTCCACAGGTAGCCCCGTGTCTGCCACAGAGCCCCCTGCAGCCACGGAGGAGGGGGCACCGGGACCTTGGTCCCCTAGCCCTTGGCCCAGTCAGGCCGGCCGCTCCCCACCCCCACCCTCAGAGCTGACCCCTGGGAACTCTGGTCAATTTCCTGCCTGAGGAACACACCCCCATAGGGGCCCCAGACCTTGGGCTCCCCAGCCTGCCCTGGCCCAGGGTTTCCCATGATGGCGTGCAGATGCCTGCCACCCCTGGGGGCCAAAATGACTTGGTTGGTGAGGACAGCCAGCGCCAGCTGTCCTCTCCATGGCGGGACAGGACCAATGAGGTTTCCAAGGACGATGAGGAATCTGGAGGCTGCGGAGCCCCCCACCTGCCCCTGAGACCCAGCCCCATGCTGCACCCTTTGTCCCCCGTCGGCAGCACCCACTCCTCTCCTGGTACTGATGTGGTGGAGCTGTGGACAGGAGGGACTGTAGCCTGGAAGCCAGCTCTGGAGGGTGGCCTGGGGTCTGGGGACAGTGAGTTGAGGCCCACTGTGGAGGCAGCTCCTCCCCTTCCTCCTCCCATAGTCCCTCTGCCAGAGACGGAAGGCAGGGACAGCCCCCTGCAGCCGGGGACTCCCAACTCCCCAACCCCAGGACCAAGCTCCTGGGACCTGCGGACGGTGGCAGTGTGGGGCACCTTTCTCCCCACAATCCTTACTGGCCTCGGGCACACACCTGACCCTGACCCTGACCGTGCCCGGAGCCCGGGACCTGAGGGCCAGCCCGAGTCCCTCAGCCTGAGGTGCCCCTGAGCTCTGGGCTGCTGTCCACGCCAGCTTGGGACAGCCCTGCAAATAGCCGCAGAGCCCCTGAGACCCAGCCCCTGGCCCCCAGCCTGGCTGAGGCAGGGCCCCCTGTGGACCTGTTGGCTGCCAGGAACGCCAGCTGGAAACTGGAGCGAGGCAAGTGGTGCGGGCCGGGCTGGTGAGGGAGTTTGCCCAGGACCTTGGTGATTGTTGCCTCATCTGAAAGTGAACAGAGTGGGACACAGGCGCCGTCTGTCCTGCCTCCCTCGGGGCAGGGGTTCCCAGGATTAGGCAGATGAGGGGACCACAGGGCCCATTCCTGGGCAGCACAGGGGGCCTCAGGGAAGCCAGGGCAGGCACACACTGGCAGCACATCCCAGGACAGAGTTCACTCAGACAGCTGTGCAGTGGGGAGGGTCCCCTCATGGCCTGCAGGCCTAGTCCTGCCCAGAAAGCAGCAAGCTTCCCTGAGGCTCAGCCTGGCTCCTCCATGCTGGGCTCGGCCCACTGCCACCTGGCTCTGCCCTCAATGGCTCCACCGTCCTTTGGCAGTGACCTGCAGGGGTCTGAGCTGCATGAAAGAAGCTGGTCAGTGTCCCCTCCCTGGGTTCCCAGATGGTCACTGCAGGAGAAGCAAGCTTCTGTTCAGATAACTATTTTGGGTGTGGGAAGGGGCAGGCTGGTCAGGATAGCTGGTCAGGGGTGCCCGCAGGGTCCCCTTCCCCTACCTCTGCACCAGTGACACTGGAACACAGTCCCTTTGTCCTTTGTGGGCAGGGTCAGTTGGTTGCTGGGGGTAGGGGGTTGACTTTATTTTCACGGTCTTCCTGGGTTGGGGATGGAGGAGTCTATTTTGCAAATAAGAAAACTGAGGCCCAGAAGAGGGGCCTGTCTTGCTGAGGTCTTGCTAGCCTAGGTGGGTAGTTCCTGGCTGTGGGGGCCTGGCGGGGATGGGGTCTGCCTGGCTTTCACGGGTCTGTGCCCCGCAGTGCTCCACCACCTGCGGCCTGGGTGCCGTCTGGAGGCCGGTGTGCTGTAGCTCCGACCGGGTTGAGGACTGCGCCCCTGCTGGCCGGCCCCAGCCTGCCCACCGCTGCCACCTGTGGCCTTGTGCCACCTGGCACTCGGGCAACTGGAGTAAGGTGTGTGAGAATGGAGCCAGGGCAGGGAGCCCCAGGGCACGGGGCGGAGCCCTGGGTCCCCACGGCCTGTGTTCCGAGAGCGGCAGGGGAGGGCTCTGGGCTGCACGTCTGGGCACCCGATGGCACTGGATCTGAATCTCCTGGGAGTCTTCATTTTTGTCTGGCTTGGCCTGTCTTCTCCACTCTGTTTTTCTGACCCCATCTGGACTTGTCTTTTCATCAGCTTGTCTTTGTTCCTCCCTTTCTCCGTCTGTCCCCGCCCATGGCAGCCCCTGGCTGGGCACCTTTTGCCTGAGGCCTGCCAGCCTTGGCCTCCTGCTGGGGCTCTTCAGGGATTTTCCCCGGGCTGGAACGTGGGCCTGATGCCTTCCCTGCCACACGCCTCACGGGGTCACATGTGTGGGCCTGCACATGGGGGGTGTCCATACGCGTCTCTCCGTCCCCAGTGCTCCTGCAGCTGTGGTGGAGGCTCCTCAGTGCGGGATGTGCAGTGTGTGGGGACACGGGACCTCCGGCCACTGCAATCCTTCCGTTGTCAGCCGGGGCCAGCCAAGCCACCCGCGCACCGGCCCTGCAGGGCCCAGCCCTGCCTCAGCTGCTACACTTCTTCCTGGAGGGAGGTGAGGCCTGGGGGTCCAGTTGGGGGGAGGGGGCGCCCTCAGACCCTGGCTGTGCCCTGACTCCTTCCCTGCACCCCAGTGCTCTGAGGGCCTGTGGTGGTGGTGAACAGCAGCGTCTGATGACCTGTCTGGAGCCAGGCCTCTGCGAGGAGGCACTGAGACCCAATGCCACGAGGCCCTGTAACATTCACCCCTGCACGCAGTGGGTGGTGGGGCCCTTGGGCCAGGTGAGCTGGGCTGTGTGGAGGAGCAGGGAGCAAGGGCTTGGCAGCACCTGGTCGGTCCTGGGTTGGGTGAAACAGCTATTGAGTGTGGCTGAGAGCCAGGCTGTCTCTGGCCACTACTCGTGCAGCAGTGACTGGACGAGGTCCTGCCCTGCTGGTGCTCACAGCCTGCCAGGGAGAAACAGACAAGGAAAGGGCATGTGTGTTGTGATGTCAGGGAAGGCCTTTCCAGGAGGGGCCTCGAGTTGAGACCCGAGGGAGGAGTCAGTGATGCCAAGGACAGGGATAAAAGGGACAGTAGGTGTGAAGTCTGAGGCAGGAATGACGAACTTGGGGCGATCAGGGAGCCTGGCAAAGGCCAGCGGCAGAAGGGGGCAGAAGAGGAGCCTCAGGTGGGCAGGACACCTTCTGCCAGGTCTGTTTAGAACGAAGGGGTTCAGAAATCTCAGCTGTGGGCCCTCAGCTGGGCCCTGGAGTCAACTGGGTCAGTGAGTCTTTGTCCCACTGGCTGCTTGAGTGACTCTGGGCAGGTTGCTTTGCCTTGCTGGGTCACTGTGTTTTCATCTGTAAAATGGGGATAGCTTGGGAGAGGAGGGTCAGGAGGATTAAATGAAGTAAATGGGATGAAGCACAGGTCCGGGCACAGACTCAGTGGGCACAGCACAACACTGGCACAGATTCGGCGCATGTTCAGGGCTTTCAGACCCGCACCTGATAACGAAGCCTGGCGGGCTGGGCCTCGGCTGTGAAACCTGTCTCCCCCACTCCTGCCTGTGCTGGGCAGGTCCTCTGCCCCATCTTTCGGGCACAGTGGTGTCTCGCCCACGTCTTTGCCTGCTTCTGCATTAGGGCTCCATCCCGGGGCTCTGCCCAGGCCTCTCGGGCATGTCCCGTGAGAGGGGCTCGCTGCCCTGCAGCTTCAAGGGCTGTCCCCACTGTTCTCACGCCCCTCCCCGCTGACAGGAGCTGATCCCACAGTGTGAGTACCGAGTGGGGTCTAGGCATGGGACCAGGCCCTCCCAGGTGGCACTGAGGGCAGGGCTGGGAGCAAGGGCAGGCCAGTCAGGCACAGGGCGCAGGGATGGCTTTCCAGAGGAGGTGTTGCTGCCCCCACTGCTAAGGTGGCTGAAAGAGACACTCTGTCCCCACCCCCCCCCCAGTGTTCAGCCTCAAATCCCATTACCTCAAGGCCCAGAGGCAGTGCCCCCACCCTGCCCTGCCAGTCCTCAGCACGCACCTAGCCTGCATCTCAGCGCTCCTGTGAGCTCTCAGCTGCTTGAGCTGGCTGCTGGCATCACATCTCTTGCTTGTCAGGGCTAGGCTGGCTACAGGGAACAGGTGGTTACCATACCAGGTGGTGAGGACCAGATGGGGCAGGGAACAGGAACTGAGGCGCCTGGGGGCCCAGAACCAGGGACGATCGCTCACAAGGCTTTGGGCTTGCAGGGTCTCCAGGGGTGGGTGTGAGTGGGTGGAGGGTGGGGTTGCTTAGGTGGCTGAACTAGAAGCTGTCTTAAGTGAGTTTAAAGCTGCCAGTGTTTTCAGCAGCCCGTGAACAGTGGAGGGAGGGGAAGCAGGAAGATGTCTTGCACCTTGAGACCTGGAATTGCCAGGATGTTTTGCTGGTGTGTGGGACAGTGTGGTGGATATTTGGAAAGCCTGGAAGCTCCAGAGTGTGTGGTCACTGCAATGACCCAGCATGGCCGCATCTATTTGCTGCGGAGGTGGGGTTGACAGAGGGGATGGAGGCCCGAGAGGTGAGGCAGCTTGTGTGAGGTCACCCCGGGCGAGCAGGATGCAGCCTGCAGATGTGCGCTTTGGAGCTCTGCCCGGAGCTGGGCTGGAGGAGCCTGCCTGCTGCCTCGTGCCCTCTGCAGGGCCTGGAGGATGGCCCAGACCCAGGGCTGGCTGCTCCCCTCCTGCTGCTTCTCTCCCGGGAGGTGTGCTGGAGTGAGCAGGGCCAGGGCGGCAGCTGGGGGTTTTCAGCAGTGACAGCAGCATCAGGAGCAAGGCTAGGAGGCTGGAAAAAAGCCACTTCCCACCATAGCTCCAATAACCACAGGCAGGAGGGCCCAGCCGAGCCTCAGCCCTGACAAGCCTCAGCCCCTGGTTTCCGCTGACAGGCTGCAAGGTCCAGTCTTTGGAGGCTTCGTGGCCTCCCTGAGAAGTGGAAGGCTGGCCTGGGAGATAGGATCCTGTGACCCCAAAGCCGAGGCTGAGTGCAGCCCCTGTGGCTGGAGTGGGTCACAGAGGCCTGGTAGGACAGGTGCACTGGAGCAGGGGGAGGTGCCGGGAGTAGGGGCCGAGGCCACTGCAGGCTGGCAGCAGCCCCCAGGACTGCAGTTCTGTGCCAGGCTTTGTCGGGATTCCAAGGCTGAGCAAGGATGGAGATGGGGTGGCAGGGCATTGCCCTGGGCAGGCTCTTCTGCGGGCATTTGAGGGGGTCAGGGTGGGGTCTCAGGACCTTTCCTCCAGAAACCTCAGCCCACCAGTGCCTGTTCTCCAATCTTGGGGGTCGGCCATGGGAAGGTGGGACAGAGACAGCCACAGTTGGAGACGTGCAACTCCGGTTCGGGAGCCCCTCCAGAAACCGGGGCCCTCTGCATGCCAGGGAGCTGCTGGAGCCTCCTTAAGGTGACTGGTGTGGGGAGCCAGGTTCTGTGTACCCCAAACCACTGATGCCCCCCTGCCCCCTTCTCCAGGCTGTGAGCAGGACCACCTGTCATTAGGATTCTGCGAGACACGGCGCCTGCTGGGCCGCTGCCAGCTGCCCACTGCCTACACCCAGTGCTGCCGCTCATGTGCTCCGCCCAGCCATGGCACCCCCTCCCGAGGCCATCAGCAGGCTGCCCGCCGCTGACCGCATGAGGATGCACAGACCAACCGACAGACCTCAGTGCCCACCATGGGCTGTGGTGGAATCCCTGCTTCCTGCACCCTAATGGTGTTAACCCCCCTCCCCATCCAGCGGCAGGCTGGGGACCTCCTCCCCCTCAGAAAAGGTATTTTTTTAAGTTTGTTTAACATTTGTTATTATTTTACATAAATGAGCATCTACCATTCCAAAGCACAGCGTGACTTCTTGAATTTGGAGAATCTTAAAAGTCAGAAATTTTTCTCCCGACCCCTCTGCCGCAATCTCTACTGCGCAGCATCTCAGCAGGCAGCGGCTTTTCACCTGCTACCCTGGGGCACATCTGGGGGCAGAGCAGCAAGTGAGTCAGTGAGAGCAGGCCTCGGGAGCCAGGGGGATAATACCCTTGGAGACCTGTCTGCAGATGGCTGGGTTCTGGGGCAGGAAGGTTTTCTGGGCAGGGGTGGGTACAGCTTGGCCCTTACTTGCAGCCTTTCTCCAGCTCAGGCACCGAGGTTTTCCTGGAGCCCCACTCTGAGGTCTTCAGAGACCTGCCCACCATGTTAGTTGCAGGGACTGCTCCCTGGCGTGATGGGGGCTAGGGCCCCTGTGGGCAGCTCGCTGGCCCTCTCTGATGTATCTGTTGAGTCTTCTACAAAACCCAGGCAGAGGGGGAAGAGCAGGCTGGCCAGCTGTGCCCTTCAGTGTCCCTTTATCTGTGCCCAGAGATGGGGCTGGGCTAATTGTCACTGCCTCAGGGCAGTCCCTTCCCCACCACCAGCCCCAGCGCCAGGTTCCTACCATGCTGATCTGTGGCCTGGCAACCTGGCACCTGCCTACCCACAGCCCCTTCCCCTTCCATAAAATCTAGTCCCATGGAGAATGTGGTGCCCACAGCAGAGAATAGATGGGCATGAAAGTGCTTTGAAGATGGTCCTGGCCTGGCCGAAGGTGGGGAGGCTGGGGAGGGGGCACACACTGTCCTCCCAGGCCCAGCCCTGGATCCTACCTGCCCTCTGGCTGTGAACCTTGGACTCGGCTGTTGACAATTTCCTCCTTAGCCCTCCCCCTGGAAGGTGTAATGCCCCTTCCCAGGTGGGGGGCGCTAAGGTTCAGAGAGGTTGCCCTGCAGCCTACCGGGGCCACCGCTTACATTCTACTCTCCCACATATGGCATCCCTGGACAAAAGGCGAGTAGGACCCTGGAGCCTGCATGTGGCAGCTGTGGCTGCTTGGCTGGATGTATGCTGGGACAGAAGAGACACCACTGAAAATCACTCCTTAGGAACTGAGACCAAGAAACAGTATCAGAGGCTGAACCCCTTAGTGATGAGCGTGTGTCCCAGGACTTGGAAGCGATGGAGGGATCGTGGCCAGGGCGGCTACCTGTGCGTGTGCGCCCTGCTGCTCCCAACTCCACGTGCTAACCTCATTTCACACCAACAGCCCCATCCTCAGAGGAGGAGCCCGAGGCTCTGAGAGGAAGTAACTGGCCCAAGGCCACATGCCCTGGTGACACAGGCCATCCAAGCCCCGACTGCTCACCTCCAATCTCTAGGCCACCCTGAGCGGGTGGAAGAAGAAGCAGGCCCTGACCAGTCCCGGTAATGGCTATGCACAGAGAGAGCAGCCTGCCAGAGGTCACGCAGGAAAGCAAGTCACTCAGCAAGCTAGCATGAGTCCCGGCCCTGCTGTGCAGCCCGAGGGTGGAGGAGCGTCAGGTGTGCTTCCTGTCTGTGTCTGCAGCAGCCTGGCTGGCCCAAAGAGACCCTGGGGACCCACGCTCTGAGTCATGGCTTCCCAGGTTTTAGTCAAAACTGCCCCTGGTGGCAACCCCTTCCAAGGGGTGGGGAGCAGTGCTGTTGATTTGCTCCTGGCCCACACACTGAGCCCATCCCTGGCCCAGCTCTGACACCACTGCCACACTGTGTGACTCCAGGAACCCACAGCCTCGCTGAATCTGTGTCTCCAGAAGAGAAAAGGCTGCCAGAACTTGGCCTACTTTGTCTGGGAATCCTTGTTGGAACCACCCCCCAACCCCCTCCCATGGGAAGACATTTGGTCTTAATCATTGTTGGGTGTTTTCCACTGATGGCTGGGGGTGTCCCCAGTGGCAGCTGGGTCTGAGCTGTCAGTATGGGCAGGAGACAAACAAGACTGACTCAGGCAGGGCACAGCTGGCGGAAGGAGGGGTGCCTGTTCTTTGTGGCTGGATGGGGGGGTTATCTGGACACAGGGAGTCTCCAGCTCCTGGCTTTCCCACCTCGGTGCCCCCAGCCCACACCTGCAGCTTGGCCAAGGTCCTTGGGGCCTCCCAAGGCTTCCCCTGCTGGCAAAGCCATCCTGATACATCCCAGGGCAGGGACACCCAGAAGCACCAAGCTGGAAGGCCAATGAGCCCCTCCTTGTCCCCCAACACCAATAAGCCCTCCCCCACCCTCCAAGCCCTTGGGGAGAGCCCCATTACAAGTGACTACAAGTGAATCTCAAGGCAGAATATTCTACAAATTAGTTTCTTTCTTCCTTTAGTATTACAATTCCAAAGTGTAACTTGAAGGTCAGCACAGGCGCTGCT